CACACACACACACACACACACACACACACACACACACACACACACACCCCCACTCTAAGGTAAGGTAGAATAGGCTAAATCTCATGCACTACAGTCACTGGATCTGGATTCTGAGAATTTAGGTTCAGATTTGAATTCTGTGACTTATTACCTTTGTGATCTTGGGCAAATCTCCTAACCTAACTTCTTCATCTGTAAAATAAGAAGGCTGGACAGGATAACCCAGTCCTTTCCAGCTCTGTATCTGTGATCTACAAGAGCTTTAAATAAACTGCTATACCCTGGTCTCTCTCTTCTCACTTCCATCAGTCCAACTTACTATACCAAGGAGTAGTCCTTTGGGAATGTATCTCTGGGATTATTGTCTATATTCTCTTTCCTGAATGCAATTCAATAAACGTTTATTAAGCACCTATTATGTGCCAGGAACAGTTCTAAATGCTGCTATGTATTGTAAAATGGCACAATGAACAGACTTGTAACTTTGGGGAAAACCAAAATTCTAATTTTGGAGACTAGCAAACAGAAGCCCAGAGAGCTGACTTGCTCAAAGTCATATATTTTTCTAATCTGAGTAGCAGAATCAACGCTAGAATCCGGTTCTAGTATTTTAGTTGCTTCCTCCCTGACAGCCCTGCGTAGACAGGAGAGGACTGAGATTCAGGATTTGCCACATGACCTTGGGAAAGTCTCTTCTTTTCTATATGCCTCAGTTTCCATCTCTATAAAAGGAAGTTGTTAGACCTAATGACCTCAGAAGGTTCTCTTCTCACTTTAACTCTATGACTTTATAATCCATCTAGCAGGAAACTGGGGAAACTCATTTATTTGTTTCCAAGTGAATCAGGGTGCTGGAGATCCTTCTGGAATCCTCAAGAATTATGCACAGTTTAACAACCATGCCCACAGCTCCCAGATTTGGGATTTACTTTCAATTATTCAATTCAATCTATTGTTTATTTATGGCTCCATTTTTTTATTTATGCCTTCACACACATTTTTATAGACTAGAGACCAAAGTGCCATATACCATGTAAATTCTAAAACTCCAACCAACCAACAGTCCCCACAGCCACTCCAGGAAGTTAATTTACCTCACATCAATTCACCAAGCACTAGCAAACAGATTCTCAAGCGCTAATGCCAGGCATTTAGAAGTTGCCCTTAATGCACCATGAGTCGAGGAAAAAGCAATCATTTCAGGAAACACTATAATTTCTGACAATAAAGATTTACTCTGTGCACTGGAATGTTTCCCTACGATGAATGAGACTCTTGACCAATAAACTACATTAGTTCTCATAAAAGTATGCTAGGGTCATAAAGAACCTGCCAAATAGAAATGATTGCTTTTGCCTGACTTTCCATTTTAAATCCAAAGTTTACAAATGTGGCTCCTGAAGCTATGCTCTGGGCTGACATGTAACTCACAGTGTGGGTCATTTTCTCATCTCTTTGGATGTATGTTTCAGGACATCTCTTCACGTGACGTGAAGAATCAACGAGGCAGAGACCAAGCTTAACCTCAGAACACTGCCTGGGACACCTAAGTCTCTTTTCCTGGCATCAAAGTGGAATAAAGTACACCTTGTCATAGCAGCCATTTTTTTTTTTTTTTGCTTAATTGTACCTCATTGTTCTAAAGAAAAGTTCTTTTATGGGGAAAGAGGTAATATCATTAGGAAATAATAGTAATTTTTTTTAAAGCATCAGTAGGGGCAGCTAGGTGGCACAGTGGATACAGAACTCAGAAGGACCTGAGTTCAAATTTGGCCTCAGACATTTGACACTTACTAGCTGTGTGACCTTAGGCAAGTCACTTAACCCCATTGCCTAGCCAAAATAAATAAATAAATGAATAAATAAAAATAAAAAATAAAAAGTATCAATACATTTTTTTTGTTCCCTAAATGAATTTTAGGTAAATCGTGTTATCCGCGGCACACTTTCAAATCTCCAAGCCAGACTACCGGCAGGTTATATCTGTTGAGGACAAAACATCTATGTTTTCTACAGTTGCAGTAGATTGAAAGACCTGAGGACTTGGAATCTGGGGCTGATGATATCATCACCATCTTCTTCTTCTTCATCATCAAAGTATTTACTAAACGTCTGCATCTACAAACCAGGATCAATAGACACAGGCTGTGTCTCCACGAGGCCATTGATTCCATCATTTTCTGACCATTTGGTTGTTTCAGTTGTCATCACTATCTCAATCAATGGAGCCCTGCCGATTTCTGGCGACGTAAAAGACTGTTATAACAGTTCCATAGTCCAGTTCCTTAGGTCATTAGAATAATCAGATTGGAGCCATAGATAATCAAAGAACATTAATGGTTGAAGAGATCTTAGAGGTCTAATTCTAATGTTCTCATTTTACAGAGGAGGAAACAGAGGCCCAGAAAGGGGAAGGGACTTGATCATTATCATCCAGAGAATTAGTGGCAAAGACGGGACTAGAAACTAGGTTTCTTGATGGTTATAGTGAAGTGCTCTTCCTATAAGCAATCAGCAGAGAAGCGGCCTGACATATAGTATATTCAACCAATTCTGTAGCAGGTCATTGGAGAACTGATATTCTCAACTCTGGGTCTCAGGGGATTGACCCAAATGCCAGTCTCTAGGCCTTTTCAAAGTATTTACTACTTCTGCAGGCCAAGGGATTCTTCAAAAACTCACGTGGTTGCTAGGAAGGAAAGAGCAAATGCTTTGAATCATAAAAGATCCTGCAAATAAATTCCTGTTACATAATAATGATGATGATGATGATGGTGGTGGTGGTGGTGGTGGTGGTGATAATGATTATAATAAGCAACAAAAATGAAAAGATAAGAATAACTGGGACAGAACTACAAGACACATACAGATTAAGAGGCCAAATGTCCACCAGAACAACTTAATACAGCACTGTGCCTCACTGCCATAATTACTGAGACACCAGGGACCGATTTGTTTGTGGCTCTGGTAGAGGAAGGGAAACGAACAGGAAGATTTAAGGGTACAGCCAGTTATCATGGCAACCAGAGGGTTTGTACATCTTAAGGAACTGGGGGGGGGGTTAATTATGCAAGGATATTCATTCAGAAGGTAAGACTTTTGGCTATCTGTTAACAAAATCGAGGGTTTAGTGTCCTGCACACAGCAAATGTTTAGTACCTGTTTGCTAAATTAGACAGATATAGCTATAGATATACACACATCTACATACACAAAAATGTATATGTGTCTATATATATATATATATATATAAGAGGCAGCATTGCATGGTAGGTAGAGTTCTGGATATGGAGTTGGGGAGAACTGAAAATAAATCAACAACTATTTCTTCAGCATGGAGTATGTGCTGGGGTACTAGAGATACAAAATAAAAATGAAATAATTCCTACTAATAAGGAACTTACATTCTAATGAGGAAGACAACAAAAGAGTAGAGGAGACAAGGTGGGGGAATCTCCAACGTATGTGTGTGGACATACGCATACACACACAGGTGTGCATACACACATAAATACACATGCCTATACATATACATGTGTTCCCCCACATACCTGCAGTATATGTATATGTCAACCTGTGTACATGTATAGATGTGTATGCATGTGTATATCTATGTATGTGTATACATGTGTATATACTCATCCATAACATGCCTTTAAGCTATTAAAACTTTAAACTGGACTAAGACTTTTGGGATACCCAGCATATAGACATAGAATAAAATAAAATATTAAAATCCCATCGCTGAGGCTGAGACCCCTTGGGCAGGTCTCTGCTTAACCTCTCAGTGCCTCAGGTTAAGCCCCTGGTCATTTGGTTAATAAATATTTATTAAGTATCCTGCTAAGTGCCAGGTACTTAATCTAAGCAGCGATGACAATACATAAAAATAAACTTTGGGGGTGGGGGAGAAGAGCATGATAAAGTCCAGAGGAGTTGAGGGGGTTCAATGATGATGAGGGGGCTGCCCTGAGAACTAAATGGAGGAGCTCTCCAATGTCCACTCTCCACCCTTGCCAATCAGAGGCAGAGAAGGGCCTCAGGGGTAAGGAGTGAGAACACAGTTAGGCTCAGCTCAGCTAAACCCACCTCTTACCAGAGGCCTTTGTCAAAACTCACCCAGCTTTTAGTACTTCCCTCCTTTTATCATCATCATTAATAATAATAATAGTTCACATTTACATAGTACCTACTATGTTCCAAGCACTGTGCTAAGCATTTTTTAAAAATATCTCAACTGGTCCTCACAACAACCCCAAGAGCTAGATAGTATTATCCTCATTTTATAGATGAGAAAATTGAAGTAAACAGCAGTTATGTGACCTGCTCAAGGTCCCAGAACTAAGTGTCTGAGCTCACATTTCAATGTGTCTTCTCAATTCCAGACCCAAGTTTTCTATCCACTTCACCACCTAACTGCTTATTAATTTGTGTATATTTTGCCTTCACTTAATTTATGTATATTTTGCCTTCACTTATTGTATTTACTGTACAGATGTTGTTCCCCCCCAACTAGAATCAAAGCTTCCTGAGGGCAGGGAATGTTTTTATTTCTGTCTTTTTATTTAACCAGCACAGACTTAAAACAGCACCTGGCACTTTATAAATGTTGCTAAATACAACAGAATCTACTGGTCATAAATATTGGTGAAAGAAATTTCCATACCATGAATTGAAGAAAGCAAAATCCATTTGTATACTCACCATATACACTCACCAACAGCACTATTATTATACTATTTGTTATATCCAATTAAAACAGTAAAACAAAACAAAATTTAAACAGGACTACTATTAATGGTTACATAAATAAAGACTATCTCACCAAACCTTCCCCAAATCCCTCCTTACCACTTTACTTCTAACTCCCTCTCCGGTCTTCTACTTCACCAGCAGCTACCTTGTGCACCTAACCATGACACCACCCCAAGGCTGCCTTGCTGAATGGTGAATCCCTGCCTTGGGTCACCATATCTTGAGAAGCCCCAGCCACACTGCTGCTCACTTCACTTCCACCTCATTCTCCCCTTCGCTCCACATCCCTCCATCATCTGCCTGTTTCCCCCTTTCCCCTATGTTCTGTCTTCTCACATTAGAAAGTAAACGCCACCTCTCCCCATCAGCTGCTTATCTTCCCATATTAGGATGTAAGCTCCTTGAGAGTAGCTTGTTCTCTCGTTTTTTCTATTCACAGTGCATGGCACATAAGTGTTCAATAAATGCTCTATTTATCTATCTATCTATCCAATCCTTCAGCAAAGGAAGTGACTCTGGCTTCTCCTGGTCCAGTTCCTTTGGTCATTAGAATAATCAGATTGGACCCACAGGGAATCAAAGACCCGGAAGAGGCCTTAGCGTTTTCCCCAGTTCCAACCCTTTCAGATTAGAAAATAATCAGATTAGAGCCAAAGTTAATCAAAGAGCTGGAAGAGACTTTAGAGTTTTCCCCTGTTCCAACCCACTTGACAGAAGAGGAAACCGAGACCTAGAAAGGGAAAGAGTTGGTGCCAAGAGGGTTGAAGCTCGGCAGGCTTTGATGACAGATTCAGTGACCAAATGAACGTCTATCATCCAAGAACCAGTTTAGCTAAGAGCCAAGACAGTCATTACTGCAGGGGTACCACAACAACTTATGTGCCCCTTCTCCCAGAGGGTGAACTGCTATTTGAGTTGGCAGAAGGAGAATCTCACTGATGAGATTACAGACCTCCCAGAGCATTCTACCTCTTCTTCCTCCACCAAAAAAAAATAATAATAAAAATTAAAAAAACATCGCTCAAGCATCTGCCAGTCCCCTGCACCATCAGCACAGACACTGATGAGCACAAGAGCGGTTACCCAACCATTTCTTCATTTACATTTGGAGGCTCTTGATGCGGTACTTGAAAAATCATTTGGTCCACCAATGGAACTTAGCGTTTCCTGTCTCTTTGCTGGCCCACAAAAGATTGTGATTGAAGAGTCAGGGTGCACGTTTACCACATCAAATTAATCACAAGGAGAGTCTATTAGGCTCTAATTGGCAAGTAATTCAGTCCTCCTGGTGGCTGCCGAAAACCAATTTCCTGGCTTTTTTTTTTCACCTGGAAAATATGCATCACTATCTGGTCATCAGTATCTTTTGGTATTTGGTCAAAACCAAAGGCAGTTCAGTCCCCTCAGCTCTCAGCAGATACAACAGTTGTGACAAAGAAGGGAGGCTGCTCGATGTATTTATCTAAAAAACAAATGTTAAACACCAAGCTGAATCACAAGTACCCTGACTAAGGCTTAGTTAGGGGTGAGAGACCATAAGTCTTTGACACAGGCTCTTCTCCTTCACTACTAATGAAAACCCTGTTCCCTTAGTCAGTATGGAATGTGTATTCCACGAAGATGCATCAACTCTAAAATGTTTTGCCCTTCCTGAGGCTCCCAGCTTTAGATGACACTGTTCTGAGTTTCTATGGTTCCTCTGAGCAAAATTATGCCCTATTAAAGCCAAGAAGCTTATGCCAAGGGCCTTAAGTCCCACTACTGATTGGGCCCTGAGCTTGTGGAATAATGTCATGAGGCTGGCCAAGAGAATGAATCCAAATTCTCAAATGCATTTTTCAGTTCATACTCACCCAACATAAGAACAAAGTAAATACAATATAGTTATCCCCTCCACATTGCAACTTTCCCCATTGCAGTTTCGATATATCATGGGTTGGCATAAGACATTAAATAATAATAATTAAATTAATTAAAATTAATTATTTAATAAAAATAATTAATTAAAATTAATTATTTAATAAAATTAAATTTATTTAATAAAAATTATTTAATAAATTAAAATAAATTATTTAATAAAATTAAATAAAAATAATTTAATAATAATAATAAGACATTAAATGGGAATTTTTTAGGAGTTTTGCAGAAGCAGCAGACAACATGTAAAGGCCAGCAGACAACACAGAGCCTATGACCAAACAACTAACCCAAATTTTACAATAAAGTACTGTAAACACCCCATAAAAGAAAAAGAAAAAAAATCAGACTTCTTCTCTGGTATGAAGGGAGGGCCAAAAATTTTTACATGGATTTTCCAGATTGCAGAGAGGAGAGGGGGGTCCTTAACCCGCTTTGATGTGGAAGGGAGAACTGTACAGCAGAAACACACAGGATGACAATTCAAAATTAATACAGAATTGAGTGGAATGTAATAGCATCCAAAGGAAAGAGCTAGCTCGTAACATAAAGCATGACATTCCTTGGTTTGAATCCTGGATTTAGAAATAGAGACCCTCTCTGCTGTTCCCTGGCTCTGGGACCCGAAGCAAATTACTTCCTCTGTCAGGGCCTCAGTTTCTTCATCTGTACAAGAGGTACAATTACACTACTTGCCTTACAAGGTAGTTGTAAAGACAGCACTATGTAAAGCACAAAGTGCATTGTAAATGTGGGACAGGGATTGGACTTCTTATTTCAATGATATTGGTAACCCCTGAATAAGCAAACTCCCTCTACCAAAGTAGGTCAAGAGCTTCTCTGCAACTTACAGTCTAAGAGGGTTGCTATGAACACTAAAAGGTTAAGTGACTTGTCCAGGGTAACAAAGACAGTATTATCGGAGGTAGCATTGGAACTCAGGTCTTCCTGACTTTGAGACCAATTGTCCATCAATTACTATACCATGCTGCATCTATAGATGGGAGTTATTCTTTTTATTGTAAAATGAAAAGAGTTGGTCTAGATGTCTTCTCTGGTCCCTTCCAGTTCAAAATCCTATGCCT